TATGAAAAAAATGAGCACCAGGACTCGTTTTGAAATTGAGGCCAAGGGTAATTCGGAAATGGGCTATTGTTTTATAACATAGCCGGTGGAATTGTTCATCAAATCCGGCGGTAAAAGCGGACAACAATAACAGAAGTGGTTGTTCGCGGTAAGCGAAATATTAAGCAAAATAGGAATTGGTTTTATTTCAAATTTTCTGTTGAAAGCTCGAGTTTTATTCAACTGCAGTTTAAAACGGAAAAATTTAAGTTTATCTTTGTAGGTTGAAACAGACCAGTTTGTCATTTGTTTGGTTTTAGTAGAGTGTCTTTCTGTCAAAATTTGTCGCTTTTCACCCTCGGACAGTGAAGCGAATCGTGACGGCGCTGATGCCGAGTCTTCTTCTCCGTTGTTTTTTCTTTTTCTACCTCATTTAAGAACTAGCCCAAGGGAAAAGGTCTGAAAATTGTCTTCGTTTTGGGACTGGTGGGCCGAATCTCTGTTTATATCCATTATTGTCGTGAAATATAACATATTTCCCCACGCTAACAATGGCCGCTCGCGCGAAAAAAAAAATTTCTGGCGAAGCGATTTACTCACGCTATCAGCGTGCACTATCGGGATTTTGAGCACGCTTACGTATACTGATTATGATTGCGCGCCTCTGCTAGCTATGTTATGAATTATTTTAGCCTGGAACTGACATAATCTATTAATTTAACTCGTGTCTCAAATTTTTTCGGTAAAATGAAGGTAAAAGTGATTTTCTTTCACTTCATTTGATCCCTCTGATTTTCAAGTACAATCAAAGATCTTATCATAGGGGTTCAGGTTAGAAAATGAGTAGATCTCACTGGAAAGCGAAGTGAACTTTACGTGATGGGTGCGAATCGCATGACTTGGTGGGTACTGTATTGTGCTTTCCCTCCCTCCACTCCCGCCACCAATGGCAATTGAATACCAAAGCAAACGAAAATCTTTTGGTAATACGGCAAACTCTCTACAGAAACTAAACCACCATAATTACTTGAATTGTATTAGCGTGCACAACGGATGCGATTACCCGGTACGGCAGGAAATGTATTTGAGCGTAAAGAGGATTAATTAACTAAATGCAATTGAAAGGGTTGATTCCATGGCTTAAATTAGCTGATCTTCAAACCAAACTTGGGAAAGACATCATCACACACGCCAGACTTTGTACTATGTCGTTATTTTTCTATTTTCTTGAAATACTGGATATAAAAACGTAGATTGATTGAAAGTGCTCGTTTTCTGGCGGGACTTTGGGGTGGGTACAGCAAGCAAGCATTAAGCACCAAGTCATGAATCATTCCACATTCCTGTATTAAAAAAAAACTTATCAGTTATTTTTTCGTCAAATTTCTCGAAAACCAACTCTTGTCCGATACGTTTACAGTAAAAAATAGTTTCTAAGGCGCTTTCGTTTGGCTTGTGAACAGATAGGCTGGTGTTTCAAAAATGCCCGTGAAATCTGCACTGGCAAGAGTGAAATTATCCATTTTAAAATTAGTCGTAGGGGTTTCCTGTGTTAATTGCAGGTTAATAGGATCAATTTTAAGCTAGAAAATCTTTATTACATTGTTTCGCTGGTATGAGCACAAATATTATTGTCTAGTCTTGTAAGACAATAGTCTTTTGAGGGATGGAGACAAAATCTGCTGGGCAGGCGACACAACCATTTAAATGGGCGATTAGGTTCACAGAACGGCGGATCAGCTGGTCATCAGGGATTGTAGAAAAAGGAACAGATTGTGCGAAGATTGGAAAAATGGGGATATCCGCAGCGCAATCAAAAAATTATGTCCCGGATTCCAGAGTCTGTTGCATCGCGTCATTAGGTTTTGATGGGCGTTCATCGATGGCTTCGTGTTTTGTTTGTTTTCGGAATTTTGGAAATACGTCGGATCGAGCCATCCGGCCTAAAATCACCTACCAATCCACTTCCCTTGATACCTGACTGATGGTACCTTTTTACAAGAAAATACTTTTATTTGTACTTCAAGTACTTCGAAGTCAACACGATTAAACGGATCAAACAAATGGCGAACTAGGGCAAAATCAAAGTAGCGCCCGTGTAGTTCAGTTAAGTCGAATAAAAACAGAAACATTTTCCAAACGCCCTTAAGTTGCAACAATGGCAGCTCTGTTGTTCATTGGTCAAAGTGTTGTATGGTACGTTACGTCCGTTCCCTTCAGTTTTCATAGTGACTTTTGATATCTCTCATGTCACACTGAATAATTCATTTATTAACTTTGCCAAACAACAACACTCAAGAACGAAAAAAAAAAAATGACCATCAGTGGAAAAAAAGAAATGACAGGGACACCCCAATAGCGTAGCCAATTACATCGCCGCACGATGGCTTTCAGCATTCAGTCTTATCTTTGGCGTATAGTCAACCAAAGCCACCTAGCAGACCTGACATGAGTTTGATGGTTGTCTTTCATGAGACACACCACCTTCCGTCCAGTGCAGTGGAATAGTTTTCGTCCATTCCTGATGGAAACTCGAATCACCCAAAACCTTGCGCGACTGTCTCGTTTGCCCTCATTTGTCTCGCTGCCTGCCGAGTCACCTCGTTATGTTACCTATAAAAACAAACAAAAGTTATTACGGGCAAGTGGAATAGTTACAAAACATGTTTTATTATCTTTCAGGTCCAAGAATATGTTTGTGAAGCTAATGGAAACGACTATTAAGCTTATTCCACTTTTGGTGGTTTTTTCAAAAGTCTCATCTGGTACGCACCTCTCCTCTCTCTCTGTAGTCCGTTAATTAAAAGGTTCTCTTATTTTGTCTTATTTTATTTTTCATTTTATACTTAGCAGAGAAATGCGATTCTCCCCTCGGCATTTTGATCCCAGACAATCAATGGAGTGCCTCTTCTACAGTAGACTATGCATCGTTTGGTGCTTATCACGGACGAATGAACAATTCTCCTGACACTGTGGGCTGGTGTTCTTCAACTGTTAAAGAAGAAAAGGCATTCATAGAGGTTAGGGCTGATTTTTCTCTGTGGTTTTTTTCGGGGATTCTATATTAAAAAGGAAGGAAGATACCGAATGTTGACAGGAATGTTGTTCCCTTGGCGCATTGATGCAATGGCCTGACAAGTGTTTGCCAGAGTTTGTGTCATTCTCTAGGCGTGAATAAGGTACTATTAAAACAAAAGCAAATCAGATAAATGTAACGAAAGATGCGATAAGAAGTTGAAATTCTCTGTTCTTCAGGTTGACTTGGGTCGGAACATGCACGTTAGTGCCCTGTCTACCGTAGGAGTGTTGGTGAAAAACGACTCTACTGGGAACTTTTCGTTCATGTACGTTTCACAGTATTTTCTTGCCTACAAACGTGATGGAGACTTGAAATGGAGGCGGTACCATCGAAACGATGTATCCGTAACAGTAAGTTGCGAGTCTACTAAAACTGGCTTCAACTTTGTAATGATTTGGCTTTACTTTATCCGCTGGCTGATGCTTCTTTATTGAAATCTGATTTGTGTTGTCTCTTATCACAGCTTATTAAAACCAATGACTCCAGAGTCCACAAACACCACCTACAGACGCCGCGGATTGCCCGCCATGTTCGGCTGGTGCTGGACCAAGGAGTTGGAGACAGATGGTGTCTGAAGTTGGAAATACATGGCTGTTCTTGGACTAAACATGGTACATGAACTTCCTTTTGGTGACTGCATTCAATGAACATTTTTTTCCAAGGGACACTGATAAATTTTGGTTCTTGCGCTAAAAAAGACTCAATACGGGAGAAACGCCTCAGTTTAGGAGATGCTTACCCGTTGGTACCAAGGGGGGATCCCTCAGGTTTGCTAAGTTTGGGTTACTTGTCAAGCACGACAAAGAGGTTGTTGAATTTGATAAAATTTCTAAGTCCTTAATAGACCAAAACCAAAGAAAACGAAACAACCAGAAACATGCAACAACAAAAAAGCCAGTATGTATTTATGGTGTTCCAGTCAAAACTTCCATGATTTTTACAATTTCATAATTTTTCAGATGGCTTGGTTTCGTACCGCATCTCTCAGGGAAATATCCGACAGAATCTGCCCGGGTGGAATTCCTTACGTGATAACGGCTACGATGGTACGAGGCTCTCTTTTGGGAAAAAAATTGGCGTACTTTACCGCGGATTGGGACAGTTGACAGACGGAGTGATTGGTCGTAATGCTGACTGGAATGACACTGATAACCCAAACTGGATCGACTGGATTGGCTGGCAAGATTCCAAGACGGTTGACCCAACTGTCACATTTGAATTCTCATCTTTAAGAAAGTTCTCTAGTGTCCATTTTCACGTACTCAATCTACCGGGACACCATGAAAAGATGCTCTTCAGCAAAGTTGTTCTTTCGTTCTCTCGAGATGGCGAGTATTTTGCTTGGAAGACCATATATGAACCCAGCATGGCTAAAAGAACAGCACTGGGAGACAAAGCTGTTTGGATTGAGGTTAACCTGGATGGAAATATTGGAAACCACGTCACCTGTGAATTTGTATATTACGGATGGTGGGTGTTGATTAGTGAAGTGGAATTCGAATCAGGTACTTTCTTAGTTTGATTGTTTTCATTTGCATCTGAGTTCACTATCGCTCTTTTCATGATCGGTCTTTTAAGCTTCACATTGCTGTACGCAGTTTAATAATAAGAGAATCTGTTTTTTATGGTTCAAGTTTAGTTTTGGTCACTGACTTAAAATCATCATGGCCTAGTGAAATTTATTTTATGTGATCACGAAGTTTTGGAGGCGAGAGAAATCAGCGCATCACACATTTAGTCTTTATGTTGTCGGACCGAAGCTTAATCAAACTGACCACAGCTCAGATCTGGCTCATACTTTGTCATCAAATAGTACTTCTGAGAAATCTCTGTCATCCTAATAAAGTCTTCAATGCAGTTTTATTTAGTTTTCTCCGCAGTATGCGATGCTTTTATTATTTCTCATTTGTTTTCAGAAGAAGTAACCATCGATCATATTCCTGAAACCGAACCAAACTTTCAGCCTGGAATAACAACAACAGCGAACACACTCGACAACGAAATCAATACAACAGACAGGATTGTGGTGGAAGGTAAGTCGTTTACGTCCTTTTAATTGCCAGTCGTCAGATTCAAACAGTTTCAAAAATAGTTTGCTGTAGTAAAGATCTGGTCATCAAAAGAGTTAATTAATGAGGAAACAATTATTTGTTTTTCAAACAAAAGGACTCTTTCCATTCACATGTCTCTGTTTTTGAAAGACATCTTCAAACCTTCCAAGCGGCTGCCATTGGAAAAACCTTGCTCCATTCATAGACGTCATTTTTAAATGATTCTAGGACACAGCACCACATACGTACGTTGAGGAAGTCTTTTTTACACATTCCATAAAATTGTGTTTGGAAAGATGCAACTCTCTATTCTGAAATGAAACATGATCTCTTAAAGTAAGCTGATCATTCTTTCCCTGAATTTTATCGTGCACAGAAACGAGTTTTGATGAGGCTTCAGACGGCTCTTGGGACACAGTGTTGACGGGGTGCCTGGCTGCTGCTGGGGTAATAGGAGCACTGCTGTTGTGTGTCCTCGCCGTGCTGATCTGGAGGCGGAGGAGTCGACGCACACGCGCCGCTGAACAGGATTTAGACAACAGACCAATCAGAATCATCAACCCCAGCAAGAAAAACTCACTAAACAGAAGGAACGATCCTGGTGCGCAGCAAATTCGCTTTGAGAGACTAAAGATGCTGGGGAGGGGAATGGACGAGGACGAAGATGATGAAGAGGAGGAAATGGACTTGATGATGGAGAAATGTAATTTGAATAATGCCAGGCTGCTGATGGGTAAGTGTTATCAAGCATATTTTTAGCGACGATATTCTTAAAATCAAACAACAATAGGTATCCAATATTTCATTAAGTGTAGCGCAAAGATCACTGATATCCATTTAGATTTGTTTCAGACTTCCACAGAGGTGCGCTTTTTCAGCACTGATAAGCGCGCCTATGATCCTCAACTTCACCCACACCTGATGTGGGATAGAAAATTCAAATCTCGAAGTAAGCTGCGAAAACACTGACTTTCATACTCAACGTTCCCACGTGTTTTCATTTCAGTGACAAGAGAGTTGACTATGTTCTCGATTATTTACTATGAGAATACCTTTCACCTTTCAGGTGACCAAGACATCTCAAAGAATCTCCGTCCTCAATCCAGAGAAATCTCCCTGGAGGAAGAGAAGGCTGAAGTTCTTGCAGAAATGAGGAAGGTCAGCGAAAGTAGCGATGATTGAATGCAGGTGTACATTGTTACAACGATCCCCGTAGCATTCCCAACACCAAACTTCATAGCAGTGAAAAAAAGGAGACAAACTGACAAACTCATCAAAAAATGGAGAAATACGCTCCAGAAAACATATCGTTTTTATCTCCGTATATTTGAAATCATAATAATAGCTACGGTACGAGATTCCAAAGGATTTCCTAACTTACGGTACGTTTTTCTCGAATGAGCTCACAATTCGACTACGGAGGCCGCCAGTTTGAATATTGCTAGGCAACCTGGTCGGTTACCAGTGACCTTAAAGACAAGGCATGGTATTAATTGAACTGTTTGAATTCACTCTGGAGTCTCAGTTAACTGGGAATTGAGAGGCTGATACTAAAGTAGCAACTGTGAACTGTGGTCCTATTATTTGAGTTGAATTCTAGTAAGCTATCCTCGTGCGGCCAGGTTACTGAGTCGTTTCCAAAATGGCTGCGTCTGTAGTGGAATTTTTAGCACACTTGAGGGAAATTTTTCCAACTAGTTGGTCACTTTTATGATTCAAAAATGCGTTAGTGTGTATACTACTATATGCCACATTGAACAGCGGCGTTAAATTTGAATGGTTTTTGCTGGTAGCAGACTTCTTCAGTTTACCTAAGCTCTTGTAAATTTCTATGTACTTAAACAGCCCAAACCAGCTCATAAATTTCAAGCGATTCTAAGAAAATAAATGTTTCTCTGAAGTTTGTTTCAGAAATACCTTTATTTTATAGAATCAAAAATATTCTTTAAGTATGATGATAGCTATTTATGGTAATTAATGTAAATGCTGAATTATTTAGATGTCGTAGAGATGTTAATTTGCTTAAAAGTTCCTTTGCAATCATATTCACCATAACTTACTCTATATCATGTCTGTTTCATATGTTTTATGTGTAGAGATACTCAAAAAAAATATCTGTATCTTTATCACCGAACCAGTAGCCAAATTAGTTAAATATACTTACAGAATAGTAGGGTTTGCATTCAAAACGAGTTTTGTTGAGTTTCGGAAAAATTTACAATCAAAAATTTGTTTTTCCATCATTTCAACTCTGGTTTGTTTGCGAACAAGTTTTCGTTTTGATTGCAAGGGTCAAATGATTTTCGGATGTGGCGGCCACCTGATTCTAATCACGGCCGTTGGTGCGAAGCCGACATGACGCCACTGCCCCTTAGGCAGCAAAACAAAGTTCGCTCATTTCTACTTTCCGATGCTTTAGCTCACTGCCGCTCACTGTTTCAGTACTTAAAACACAGAAAAAAAATGTAACTGATGTTAAATATTTATTTAATTACTCATTCCGACCTTGCGAACAGCCTCTTCAAAGTCTTGACGCCGAAACATACTATTGAAATGCAGCTAAACTGAAGTTAATTGTTTCCAGGTTCTGTAAAACTGGCCTTTCCGTAATAGAGTTTACTGTCCAGTACAAAAAAATCTTAAATGACTATATAATAATATTTACTCCGCATTGCGACTAAGAGTAAGTTGCTCTGATTAAAACAATAAAGCTGAAATGAACCACAACGTAATTTTAAAGCCATTGTACTTAATGGCTAGTATTTGAGGATAAATGCGCCAGAATGAATTCTTTTTTAGGCATAGAAACACGAAATAATCTTATTTCTTCTCCTTGTACATTACGCGGAGATATTGATAACAATAGATATTTTTTACACGACTGTAAATACTGCTGTAAGTTCAATAAAGACCTGTTCCTCCTCATGCTTACACTCTTGTTTGCGTTATATATGTCCGTATTCTTATCATCTCCAGCGGAAATGGTCGATTTCGGGCCTGAAGAGGGGTAAAATGTTTCGAGTAGATTGTTTCAAAGTGTTGCAAATTGAAATTAGTCCACATATATTTCTCAAAAGTACGGTGGCTCTCAAGGGCCATCCACCTACAAAAATTTTCATGACTTTATCGCGCGATAAGTTTTGCTCAGTCCATTCATTCCAAAAAATTGCAATCAACATTATCGCGCGATAGAACAACTTATCGCGCGATAGAACACTGTATCGCGCGATAGAACAACTTATCGCGCGATAGAACACTGTATCGCGCGATAGAACAACTTATCGCGCGATAGAACACTGTATCGCGCGATAGAACAACTTATCGCGCGATAGAACAACTTATCGCGCGATAGAACAACTTATCGCGCGATAGAACAACTTATCGCGCGATAGAACACTGTATCGCGCGATAGAACAACTTATCGCGCGATAGAACAACTTATCGCGCGATAGAACAACTTATCGCGCGATAGAAAA